TGAAAGCTCGAACTTCTTTGGACATTTCCCCCTTTGAATTCCAGATTAACAACGTTTCATCCAACAGGTTAGGATTTTTTCCTTTGTAAAATTTCCAACGTGTATGGTTTGTAGTATAAAATGGTAACGAAACTGGTGAGCCATTCAGCATATGTCTTGCAATGTCATAAAGATCGCCGCACATGTTTTCAGAGCCTTCTGCCAAAAGAGAAGATTTATAAGAGTGTGAATAGTGCAATAATTCCTTAGGACCAGTCATAAAGTAGTACGAGAGAAAAAGTGTTGACATTAAAATAATAATAAGACCAAAACAACGTACCGCCATATTGGAACCAATCAGAGTATGCCTGTTCGCAGGTTTAAGGGCCATTCCATTTAATATCCACACACACCCCCCCTACGGATGAGGTCAGTAAAATTTTAACCCCTAAGAAAAAAAGATCAAAGTGCCGACACAAAACACCCCTCAGAAATTTGTAAATTTTCCCCTTACCCCTCAGAAAAATCGCAGAGATCAAAGGATGCCGACATGCTTAACCCCTCAGGAACGACTTTTTGAGTCACCCTTTTGTAAAATTTCCTGTCATCCCCCCTTTGCTAAGTCTGGGATACCCTGTGGTCCCCCTTTGCATCTGACCAAAATTTTTTAAAACATGTTTTTATCGAACGAAAGTAATTTGATGACAGGAATGGTTTTCAACAACATTCAGAAAGTTTGGACTAGTTTGAGGGGTTTTTTGAATTTTTTGAATGTAATTGTTTTGAAAGCAATTGTTTTGATGACAGGAAAAGTTTTCTACAACTTTCAGAAAGTTTTTGGACTAGTTTGAGCATAGCAGCCCAAAAATGCGTGGTCTACTCCAGTGGTCTACTCAGTTTATTATTATGACATAATAATAAACTGAGTGGACTCGATGCATGCCCGAGCTCCACGCGCGAAGGTAAAAATTTCAACACACATTTTTGGGCTGCCTATGGTTTGAGGCAGTTTTTCAGTATTTTTGAAAAAATTTTGTGGTCCCCCCTTTGCTAAGCCTAGGGTACCCCTGTGGTCCCCCCCAGTTTTTCAGTATTTTTGAAAAATTTTTTGTGTCCCCCCTTTGCTAAGCCTAGGGTACCCCTGTAGTCCCCCCATTTGACCAAAATTTTTTGAAACATGTTTTTATTGATCAAAAGAAATTGTTTTGATGACAGGAAAGGGTTCCGACAACTTTCAGAAAGTTTGAGCGAATTGTCGCTAAATATTCATCGATTTATTAATTATGAAATTATTACTTGTAGTTTCTTCCGGATTTGATGAAGTCTACAAAGAGATTTTTAATTAAAACAATAAAAAGGCAATGAAATATTTCATTATGCTATATTTCGTACAAGTGTATTGTACAATTGTCCTTTGGGGATTCGAATTTGACCAATAGGCAGTGCGTATTTTCAGCCAGTCACGTGAATGTGCCAATCAAATCATTGGAATTCAACTAATTTCCATAGAAGCCTGTCTCGTCCAATAGGAATTACCATTATCTATCATGTGACCATTTTCAACCATGCCACGAAATTCAAGCTTCCGGGGATTAATTCCATTTTGGGGCGTCGAGTAGAGCGAAGTAAAATCGCTAAATTCTTGGCCGATTTTTAAAGCAAAATTAAACAAGAAATGTTGAATTCTCGACGCCAAGTAAAAGTCAAAGGTATGTAATGTTTGTTTTATGTGAAGTTATCGTATTTTGGCGAGTAAAAGTGTTTGAAAATACTTGTTGAAGTTGAGAACCGCAAAGCGGCTTCGGCGTAAATATGTCGTATTAGATTTTCGTCTTGTCCTGGCATAAAGTCGATGAATTTAGCATCGCTTTTCGTTGTTTTTAGTTTACAGTAGTAGACGTACATATCCATAAAGGATTCAGTGTGTTTTGTAGCTAAATTTTGTTTAAAATTTGTTATTTTAGTGACGAAGTCGAGTAAAATCACATTCTTGCCTGAACTTTGGAATCAAAATTAAACCAAAATTAAAGAAGAAATGTTGAATTCTCGACGCCAAGTGAAACTTAAAGGTATGTAATGTTTGTTTATGTGAAATTATCGTATTTTGGCGAGTAAAAGTGTTCAAAAATTCTTGTTGAAGTTGTGGCCGTAAGCCTGCTCGACCTATTAATTTGTCGCCGCATTCGGTTTTTGTCTTGTCAGTTGTCCTTGTATAAAGTTGCTGAATTTTAGTATTGCCTTTCATTATCTTTAGTTTAAAATAGTAGAACAATATATCCATAAAGTATTCAGTGTGTTTTGTAGCTAAATTTTCTTTAAAATTTATCATTTTAGTGAAAATTCTCAGCCACGTGAGATGGCCACGAAGTCAAGTAAAATCACATTCTTGCCTGAACTTTGGAATCAAAATTAAACCAAAATTAAAGAAGAAATGTTGTAGTCTCAACGCCAAGTGAAACACAAAGGTATAATAATGTTTGTTTTATGTGAAATTAAAGAATTTTGGCGAGTAAAAGTGTTGAAAAATTCTTGTTGAAGTTGTGGACCGCAAGCCGACTTCGGCCTAAATATGTCGCATTAGATTTTCGTCTTGTTCTGGCATAAACTCGCTGAATTTAGCATTGCTTTTTGTTATCTTTAGTTTAAAATAGTAGAAGAACATATCCGTAAAGTATTAAGTGTGTTTTGTAGCTAAATTTAATTTAATATTTGTCATTTTAGTGAAAATTCTCATCCACGTGGGATAGGGGAAGTCTAGTAAAATCACATTCTTCCCTGAACTTTGGAATCAAAATTAAACCAAAATTAAAGAGGACATGTTGAATTCTCAACGCCAAGTGAAACTCAAAGGTATGTAATGTTTTTTTTTTTAAATGAAATTATCGAATTTTGGCGAGTATTAGGGACCGGTCATTATTTATGGCAGGGGTGGGGGCCGAAGAGAAAATGGTGGGGTAACTGAAAAATAATAGTTGCTTTAGGTGGGGTGGCCAAAAAATCCTTGCATGCAGAGGTGGGGTAAAAAAACATAACCTTACTTTAATCACACACAATACAATATATACTACCATCAGAATTTAATATGTGATTATTCTAATTTTTTAATAAAATATTATTGCTTTCCAAAATGCTGACAGAAACACCCCCTCAACCCACCCGTAAAGGGTTATTTTTATATTCATTTACACACAAAATCTCCAAAGACTCCAATTACCAGACAAAATATATACTGCCTATATACAGGGTGTATCAAAATAAACGCAATTCATCTTTTGTGCTTAATAACTTTCGAAATACTATTTCTAGTTAAACGCTTTTAGGCTTACTTCAAAGCCTGTTTTTTTTTCTTTCAAACAAACTATTATCCTTGTCTCCAACGCTAGTAATAATTGCACAGGAAAAGATTTAGTAAAACCTATCATATTTAGTTGCTGTTTAATTATGCAAGTTTAGTATGTTATTGTTTAGTCGGTTTAAATGTTAGAATTTTCTTCTTTAAACTTTAATGTTGTCGTCACTACATCTGGAAAACCACGTAAGAACAAATTAAAAGTATTTTAAAAGAGACCAGGTTGTTTGAAAATCCTAAACGAATGCTAAAAATCATAGAATCAAAACATTCTGGTTTCTGAGCCAAATTGTAAACAGAAATTATAGCAAGCTGATGTCAGTCAGCTTAGATGGTCCAAGCCAAAATTATATCGCATTTGAAGTTTCAAACTGTGTTAAATATAGTGGAAGAAAAGCCGTAATTATACTTATTGTTACAATCCATTTATTAAAATGCAACATTTTTTTGTTTTAATGAAAAAATCAGTTATTTTCATGAGAACGATTTGTTATTCCATCTCAATTTTTTAATCTCCAATCGCAATAACGTAAAGTATTATTACCCGCGAACCAATGAGTCAAATTTAAGAAACAACCCACTGTTAGAAAGCTGAATGGCTACGCTTTAAAATGAATGTAAACTTTAACGTTTTCGTCTATTATTTGTTTAGCAATTTACATTTCAGTCGAGGATTGCGCTTTTTTTGATACACCCTGTATAGGGGCTGTTTATATGGTGCAACTGCAAGCCATCCCCAGGGTACCCAAGCTGGCCCAGTTTTGGCAAGATCCTGCCTTTGTTGTTATTTCTTACTAAGTTCACCTTGTGTATATATGGGTAAAGAGCGGGCCCAGCTATAGCTAAGTGAGATCCCGCCCCTTTAGCCGGAGATCTTGCTTCAGGAAAAGTGACCTTAAGTCTGTAGCCCCTAACCCCGGGCATCCAGCCTCACCCCCATATAAACATCCTCTTATTACATATCTCAAAAAGTATATGTACAGTCTATTAAATTTTCAGGATTTAATTTTTGGGCATCTACACTTGATACTGCATAACTAATATTTATATCCAGTATGTGCTTGTAAACCATGTGGACAATTCAGGTAGCAATTAAGTCATGAAATATGCCCCATGCCCCTTGTGAATCTGGAGAATCATTCCAATGGCTAGTTCACAATATGTGCATCTCTAGCCTTTGGCAACTAGCTGTTTTGCTTTACTAGAATAAGATAAAATAAGAGAAATCTATTTACCCGTTTTACAGATTAATTTAATTGTTTATATAATCATACTTGGAATTCGGATGAATATCTTTATCTTCACACTGTATAACAGCAACTTTTTCTCATTAATTTACAGTAACTTTCTAAATTCAGATATTTTCACATGGGACAAATACTTTAGTATCGTTGTATTGTTTACGAATTAAAATATTAAATTGATTTCATAAACTTCAAGAATTCCTTGGGAATTCTTAAGGAATTCCTTTAAAATTCTGTGATAATACATGTGATTGTCTATAGTAAGGAAATATTAAAGGAATTTCAGAGGAAATTTTAGAATTTAGATAGTTGCAATCATGGGTGAGCACATATTTTGTGAAACTGTTTCAAAATAAAATTGCATTTTAATTAATAAAAAAATGCAAGAATGTGAAAGAAACCAAATTATATACAGTGAAACTTTAAAGTGGGAAAGAGATAGGGTGGTGAAATACGGTTAGTGTTCTAAAATATTGAAGCATATGGACTGGTTAATATATGTTTATGCATGGGACTAGCATATTGCACTATCTCGTGAAAAGGGAATATAGCGTTGAATACAAACTATAAAAACCCATTCATATTTAAATTTTACAAGTAGACAAATTTTAAGCCTTCAGATAACTATAATTCTTTATATAGTACCTTGCTATTGTAGGGGTAACCCATAGTATAAAGGCATGACTGTTAGTGTGCTTTAATTACTCCACAAGAAATAAGGGGCAAGGGATATTGGTAAACAAGTATTACCAATCAATCCTATTCCCTTTTAATTATAATGTCCACTGTGGTCAAAGCACCCTATAATAATTATTATTTACTCTCTAACAGCAGATGATCTTACTCATCAAGGGCAATTTTGTACTTTGATGAGTAATACGCATACAAAATACTAAACTGTTTCATTACATATTTTATGTCTGAACCTTTGGCATTGCAACAAAATAGGTTTGGGTGGGGTAAAAAAAAATTCTGGCATTCCACCAGTGGGGTAGCTAGAAACTTTGTTTCGAAAAAGGTGGGGTAATGATTTTTTCCGGCTTCATTATACTTTCTCTTCGGCCCCCACCCCTGCCATAAATAATGACCGGTCCCTAAAAGTGTTCAAAAATTCTTGTTCAAGTTGAGGACCGCAAGCCGGCTTGGGCGTAAATATGTCGCATTAAATTTTTGTCCCGTCCTGGCATAAACTCGCTGAATTTATCATTGCTTTTCGTTATCTTTAGTTTAAAATAGTAGAAGAGCATATCCATAAAGTTTCAGTGTGTTTTATAGCTAAATTAAATTTAATATTTGTCATTTTAGTTAAACAATTCTCATCCACGTGGGATTAATGAAGTCAAGTAAAATCACATTCTTGCCTGAATTTTGGAATCAAAATTAAACCGAAATTAAAGAAGAAATGTTGGAGTCTTGACTTCAAGAGAAACTCAAAGACTGAATTGAGGTATGTATTTTTTATTTTTATGTAAAAAGTTCGTATTTTTTGTGAGTAAAAATATTTGATAATTTTTGTCGACGTCGCCAGGCAATAAATAGGCAGATTTTCCTCTTGGTAATCCGGTCTCCCTTCTACGCCAAAATTAAGCACTATTAGCTCATTAACGCGCAAGCTGTTACAATGTTTCTACCCCCCTAACGTCCAAGCAATATGGCGAATACGTAACTGAATTCAAGAGCTTTCACCAAAATGGCAATATCTCAGAAACAGTTGCATGAATAAATCTGGTCTTTTCAACCAAATATTATTAATATATGATTGACCAAATTTAGTTTAAATGAACTTGCATACCTATATATATCATTAGTTTTTTCAATGAGAATTTTTATTTGTAAACCAGTGACACTATTTTTTTCATGTCACTCATCACCTAAAGGGGCAATATCTCCATATATTTATATAAAAACCAAAAAAAAATTATTTACTAAATTAGTGCATATCTATATTATAACCAATTTTCATCTATTGGGATATGAATTAGAAAATGATCAAAATTATAAAAAATACTCCTTTGCTTTTTTGGGCAAGATGTTTACAACATGAAATTTAGAACAGTAACTAAGTGTTAAAATTCAACAAAGTGTGCAAGCCAAAACACAGTGCTTGTACATCTTTGGAGGTTTTAATTACCTCAAATATATTTAAAAGGACATACGGTACTAGAATCTATTTGTTTTCAATATAAACCAAGGATGGGAAGGTGAGAAAATAGGAATTTTCTGAGGTGTTTTTAACACAGACAATGACAGCCGACATTTTCAAAGGCAAATTGCGGTGACAAAACCAAAAGTTATTCACTTCTCTACTCAAAGCACTGAAAAACACCATAAAAGAAAAACATTTAAAACATACATCAGGTAAGCCTTTTAGCTCAATTTTCTCATGTTTCTGTTTGGAAAGAAACGGTTTTTAGCCAAAATTATTTTGCGCACCAATGTAGGCTGCTATAAAATGTCAGACACGCGTTCTCTTTTGAAGTCTGGCTCTGAAAAACAATCGCTTTTTTTTAGTTTGAAATAAGCTTTCATTAGGACTAATTGTGTAGAAATGTTATCTGTATGCTCAAATGAAAAAGATAACCTAATATTCAGGTATTCAACATAGCTATAAAAGGGTGAAATAAGGACTTTCATCTTTGGTTGTTTGTCAGACATGAGAACCACATTAGTGCCATTTTGTCGCGCGTGCTATTTTATAAAATAAACACCTCAAAACCATAAACTTTTAGTTCAGAAAACTACAAAGTTTCCCATAGACATTATTAAAAATGTTCTAGTGAAACGATTTCATGATAAATAAGCGAGCAATGGGCTCGGAAGGACGGCTAAATTATGTTTTTGTTGGGACTTCAGTTTCATGGCTTCCCGCAAAGGAAGCCATTTCAGAGAGAAGCGACAACAACGGCAAACAACCGTCGCGACAAAATTTTGATAACTTTTCCTTCTGATTCAACATGTAGTTACTAGAAAATGAGGTTGGATCAACATTACTATCTGCCTTATCGATTTAAAGTTTTATGGGGATATAAAACCCAATACAAAAAGCATTTTAAAAGCTTTAGAACTCAAGTGCGGACTTTTTGCGAATTCGCACGCGGCGAGCAAGCGCATTAATTCAATACACTTATTTCAAACCACAATATGTCTGAAACGAGTTGTCATTTTAAGACTAAATTGATGAAAATAGATATAACAGTGATTTTGGAGTACCCTACTTACTTAGTGTAATTTAATACTCGAAGTATTCTTGCCAAATGGGGCACGTACGCACACAGTAATTTAATCTGGTGTCGTTTGAAACATACTTTAGCTAAAATAACAACTTGAACAAGAAGACCAACAATGGGGTTACGAAAACAGTCGAAATTGTGCCCAAATTTGCATAAACAGTTCGTCTAAAAAGATAACTTTAAACTAGATTCAACCAACATTAATGCAGTCGAATTTTGTGAGTGTTTGATCGCATATTTCTACTCAAAAATACCCTTTAAAAAATCGTATCTGCTCCCTTGTGTTCCGTGTTCATCTTTCTTGTGATTTCCGACTTCTATTTTTAATAAAGTTTGGAGAAATCCTCATCTTTTTGGCTGAAAATCTCGCGCATGGTTCACAGAAAAACTTGGCCCCAAAACGTCAATA